TTTGGCAGAAATACTGGTGACTCGTGGCGTCGATTGTGAGACCGAGAGTTCATTTAACGGGAGAAATGTCTGTATTCTGTGGAAGAAACACGGGTTAGACAAAATAACACAAACACTTTATGAATGGTCTGTTTGTGTTAATGCAGTTTTTTTTTCATATTTTGTGAAACATTTTCCAGAATGATTATCTTTCATTTAGTCTTTTCTCTGTTGGCCCTCCGGCTTAAACACTCATGGTTGTGCCATAGACAACACAATATATATATTTATTTTGTTGTTGTTCTCTATGCTGCTATAAAACTCATTTTAAAGTCCTGATTGCCTCTTTTATAGTTGAACATCATTTTTACCCACTATGACACAACTTGGTAGCAGCAGGTGTGACTACATAGAGGCATTCACATTATTTTGTCTACACTGAACCAGTAGAATATTCAATCTCTTACAGTCATTTTAGTCAACCAATTTAATTTCCTCCCGATCTTCTAAAACTAACTGCTTGGCCTCATAACCATGAAATGTTTGCACGTATTCTTAACATGTATTTTTACTTTGAGCACTGTTTCATCAAACTTATTTTTTGACATTTCGATCTATTTCGCACTGTTTAGCTCATTTAAGGCACAGCACTCCTCAGATGGCTTGTTGTATCTGGACTGAGCTTACCCGCTGAAACACATCAACTATTCATAACCTTTCTTCACTTCATGCTCTGCTTTTCTTTGAGCTTTTCTTTTTTTGCTGCAATTATTTTTTTTTCCCTGTTGACTTTTTCCTCAGCAAGACCTTCATCGCTCGTTGGGAGCTTTGGACAGAAAGAAACTAAACAAAAAGCGACCAGCGATTATGTCTTAATTTGCCCAGGGATCGTGGCTGTCGTGATCAGCTGATGTGATTACATCCCTGCACTGTCACTGCAGCGATGCCGCTGCCCTGCCTTTGGTTTCATGAAGGATGGCTGTTTTTGTCTTCTCATTATACGGCTCCTGAAATGTACCCGCGAGGCTAAGTGAGAGGTGTGGAGGCTGGGTGGGTGTGGTTAGTTTGAAATAACGACCCCTCGGTGCTGCGAGAGCATCTATTCTGTTGGTCCAGGACTCGTGGAGCCGGCCTCGGCCCTTTCCCTTTTGTCAACGGTGAAAAATGAAGCATTTCTGAATCCCTGGCGCTCGCTGTGTTTCCCTCCAGGCGCCTCAGATACATTGAGTTAACATAAAGCAAAATTCAGGACAGGGGCAGCCCGGGTGACAAATGAAGCGCCTGTGTGCTTTTTTATTTTTTTGGAGAGAAAATGAAGGGGGCCCTTTTTGTAGAAATGAGATTTAGTCCTCGTTACCTCCTTCAGGCTCCAATTTTTCCCCCTGCGGTCCAAATGTATCTGAGATGGAATATTCTTAAAATGAAAAAAAAGGGAGAATAATCTGAGTATGGATCATTTCCCCTTCAACTCGCCCTCAGTCTGTCGTCCATCTCTGCTTCGCTCCCATTTTGTCACATTACAGCTTATTTTCGCACCGCTCTGCCGGCCGGGGCGAAAAAAACAGGAAAAGTTGCCCGTCGGTCTGATCACGACACCCAGCCCCATCGCAGCTTCTTCAAAATAGATCCAATTTGGGTTTTCGGAGAGAAAGCTCGCTGGGGTACAAATGAGGCGCCTCGGCTCGCCGGTTCGCGAGCAGTGCTCTCATCCGACTCGGACTCATCTGTAGTCCGCAGGAGAGGAGAGGGACGCATGGTCCGGGCGGCTTTTTGGTCCAGATTTCGGAGAGGCCGGAGCGCTGCAGTGTTTCGGCATCCAAAGACTTGTTGGTTAATTAGAGGGAGCTCTCCGCCTGTGATGTAGTCACGCTCGCTGGCCACGTGGCAAGTCTCTCCGGGGAACCCGAGTTTTCTGATTCCCTCCCAACAAAAAAAATCCTGTCGAGCACTTTCATGTTTGTTTGTGTTTTGGGAATATCAGGCTTTTTACTCTGATTCTGTATCAGGAATTAAATGTGTGTGTGTCGGTGTTTCTGTGTGTGTGTGTGTGTGTGTGTGTCAGCTATTCAATTAGGCTTTTCTGCAGATGCAACTCAATAGGCTTTTGCCTCACCAATTACCAAAGGCACTTTAGGTCTATACTTGTTTGGCTGGTCCCAGGGTTGCCTGCTGTTTACCATCTCTGCCTGTGTTTCATTTGAACTTAATTAATCCTTTTAAAACATTTCGGAGAGGGCCGATCCATCGGCACCACCGCGGGTTGTATTCAGACGGCACAAACAAAAGGATCGACGGCGTCAGATTGAAACAGATTTGATCTGCAAAATGAAATAATCTAAAAGAACTGATAAGAGTATTGATAAGGAACAAATAATAATCGATGTGTACTAGTATTGATGAAATCCTAACGGTACCCGTCCCTAGTCTCCACATAGTCTCCTAGTGTCCACATTGAGATCCGATCCCTCTGTCTGGATGGGAGAGGAGGAAGCCTCCGGAGGCTGCATCACGTACAAGCTTGCTGCCGGCGGTTAGGCGGTGCATAACGCGTGACCAGACAGAGCAATGGGATCTCAATGTGGACACTGGAGACACGTATATATTACCTGGTGTAAATGTAACCAGGGTAAATACCATTTAACAAGGTGCAAAGGGGGGTCTAACTAATGCAGCATCCAAAAGCAAATCACATACAGCTCTCCGTGGGCTGCACCATTTAAAGGGTGCCGCGCCTCTGACCCCACCCCGTTTAGTGATGTCACAAACAACTGACGAGTGACGGAAAACACCCGAGACAGACCGACCGAGAACCCAAACGAGGAGCCACGGACGTCTCCGTGAGACATGTGTAACGGCAGAAAGTCCATTCAGACGCCGCTCAGCGAGCAGAAGAATAGGCGATGCTGACAAACCAATTCCGCCACTTCAGCTTCTATTTGTCACTGACGGGAGCCGAGCCGGCAGTCGCTGCCCGCTGACAGCACTATTAAGACACGTGGCCCACAAGGTGTTCATACGTCTCTGTCTGGGGCTTGGGACACCGACCAGTCTGCCACTTCTCCATTAAAAAACAGTTCACGGTGTGTTTTATTACAGTATATCTAACATAGACGAGTCTATTTTTCATATTTTATGGACTAGAACCATTAAATAACACACTTATCGGTGCCTTATAGCTACACACACTTAATGTCTGTACCTTGAGTGTTATCTTTAGGCGTTAGAGAACTGACAGGGTCCCACTTGTCTCACAGGTTAATGATGTGGTTTTACTGTAAAGAGCCACTCATTGAGACAGTGATGCTAAAGGACAAGGTCTGTGGCTACACAACGCCTTGGCGACACTAGCTAATCATGCTCTGACAGATTGAAGGACTGATTATAAAATGTGAATTTGCAGGACTGTGGCAGAGTCAAGGCTCGCTATTTGCATATCCTTCATCTGCCTTGTGTGTCAACAAAAGGAGAAGCACTCTCTGTCTCCACACCGGCGTATTCAAATGCAAAGTAAAGTGAATGTAATTATGTTCCCTTTCTTTCTTTTTTTCTTCTTCATAACATATTGTTCTGGCTTTAATATTACGCTCAGCCGTGAATATAAATTGTAGTTCTCCGTTTGTTTCCCTTCAAGGCGATGGGAACAAAATAGACAGCTTTGTGCAGGGCTTAATTCTATTTGTGGGGAAATTTGTTGTAATATTTGCCCGGCGGCAGGTCAGGTTAGAAATTCATATTTCATAAAGTGAAGATATGCTACAGTAATAGCTCATTTGGTTCTGGAACGGCAGAATATATTGTCGAGCCCTGAGGAGGTTTTTGTTGCCCTAATTGAGCAGACGTTGGTGTCTGGGAAGTGCTCACACGATAACCCCAACGACATCACCGCCTGTTTGATCAAATCCAGTCAAGAGTGGGCACGGGCATTAAAGGACGTGGTGGCAGTGAGGTGAGTCTAAAAAGATACTGTATGTGAAGGGAGATTTTAGGGAAATGATATCTGTGCTCAACAGTCAATATGACCATTCACGAGATGTGTAGGGATATCACAAGAACCGATCACGATGTGTTCAAATGACATCTTGTAACAATCAGCTTTTGGTGGGAAACGTGGGCCGGATCATCAGGGATTAATAATAAATAAGCAAAGGTTGAAATACAAACAGTAATAAAGGAGTGTATGTTTATGTATGTTGGAGTACATGGGATTTATTGTTTTGTTTTATCGTGGCATTGATTGGGCATCAAAATTGTGGAATTTACCACCAATTGGAAGGTCAGCGTATGCACTCCCTCTTACTTAGAGAACAGCAGTATAGTGGATGGAGCAGACTCCTGGCCTTGCGGTAAAAATTTAAATTGTCTAAAAGTGTATTGAGCAGTAACAACGAACCAGCATTATATAGGTGCAACATCCTCTACTCATAAAGTCACAAGATGTAAGAGTCTGGTTGTTCTCAGGCACAGCAATGGTTTGAGCTAAAAGTGATGTGTATCTTGAACCCAATGATCAATGATGGTAGAACATGTAGGATGTTTTTCAGTCATCTGGAAGATTCACTGGTTATAACAATAATCACTTCCAAGAATTATCAAACCGATGAGGTTCAGGCTCTGCTGTATGTATGTATGTGTATGATTAATATTTAAGATGAAGAAGGAAGTTATTGATTTTCTGTGAATCAGTGGAGTGCTGAGTTTAAAAGCAGCTTTGGTGGATTTTGTACCATTGATTATTAGCAGCTTCTGCACACATGGATGCATCCTGCACATTAATGTGGACACCGGGGGTTAATCCAGTTCAGACTGTATGGAAAGTACTGAGTGCTATTTTGCTGGAAAGGTCTTGCTGTTTTGGTCTGTGTAGATCGTTTGGCTGATTTTGTTTCATAAACCATCCCTGTTTCTACACAGACAGATTGCACAAATATTCCATTTTTATTTTCTGTAAAACCTTTAAATGTTTGACGTTTTTAATGGTTTTAAACAGTGTTTTTTTCCCTCTCTGTTTTTTCTGACTGTAGTTCAGCAGAAAGAATCTCTGGAGGACGAAGCAAAGCTCAGCATTCTGGAGGCCGGGGTCACCGACGTGAGTACACAATGTAAATCAAAGGTTTAAATGAGTGGGAACAAGTTACGATACGAGTCTTCAACACAAATTACACACAATGATCCTACGCCCAAGGGCCAAACCATGGACTGCTACTGTACAGCAGCCTCTACCCTGATGGAACCAGGGATTTGTCCCATTCAGCCGCACGAGCATCAGTGAGGTTCAACGCTGATGTTGGTTGATCAGTTCTGGCTCCCAGTTGTTGTTCCAGTTCATCCCAAACAAAGCTGTTGGATGGTGTTGAAGTCAGGGCTCCATGCAGGCAAGTTCCTCTAAGTTACACCACAAGTGGGGAAACCATTTTGTGCACGGAGGCTTCGTCGTGTTGAAACAGATGAGGGTCTTCCTCAAAGCGCCACAAAGTTGGAAGCACACTGTTGTCTGAAATATTGTCAGGTAGGTCATGCATTTTACAAAAAAATTTCCCCACGTGTCACTATTGATATCTTGCATTTCTACAAGGCTTTTTTGGTAAAAAATCTTCATGAGTCATTCATTTACTGGAAAGACGGATTGTTGTTAAGATGAACAACCAAATTCCATTTGCCTTTCTTTCCGTTCTGTCTTTTTTCTCACTTTTTGTCTCTTACTGTATCAGTGGCGTTGGGTCGTTGCGACGCTAGCATGACGAGGCCCTAGTTATTCACTGACGCTTTAATCAGTCACGACTGTTGTTGACTCAGTTTGTCAGTTTTTACAAATTTTGCGCCTAAACTAGCTACTGTATATCGTAACGTCTTGTCTCATGATCAAATAGAGACTTAACATCCCCATGCATCTTACCCAGCAACCGTCATTGCATATCTATATATCTCAAAAATACCAGATAAATAAAGCATTTTTGGAGTTTGTTTATATATTGTATGTAGAATAAGCAGCATATCATCAGCATATATATCAAAGGGCACCATTTGTAATTTAACGAGCTTGTCCTTTGAACACAGTATTTATTTCAGATGTGGCAATCTCTCAGTCTAACACATTGTGTTATATTAGTAGTGATTAGTAGTGTGTGGTAGGACCCGCCCTACAACGCCCCCAACGCAACTGCACTGTCTTTATTACTAAATATAGGGAAGATTAACCGATGCGTGTCGGAAAATCGATGCAAGATACTTAGATACGGCTACTTCGATTGAAAACTATGAATCCAGCTCCAATGTTGAGGGGAATCGGTCCCAAATCCATACGTCTCCCAATAACCGATACAGTTAGAAAAAGCTCCACTTTTTACGTGTTACCTGTTTGTATGAGCAGAAAGAGAGAGAGGGCGGTGTGTCTGTTGGTACAATGGGGGAGACAGAGAAAGCAAGACCCAGCTATCACTAATGAGGAGCTACGGTAGCTAACAAGCTATTAAAATGTGTCGATTGTATCCTATTGCAGACAATAAATCAAGATGCGTGTTGTTGAATCGGGAAAGATACACACCCTTAACTACATTATAATTGTACTTGCACTTCTAAGCAGCATTTCTGATGATTGGCGCCTGCTCCATCCCCTCCACCTCTCTCTTTCTCCCTCTCGGGCCTCTCTCCCTCTTGGTTTTCATCTCTTAGCATTGCTATTCTCCACCATCTCTGAGATAAATAGACTGCTGAGCGTCTGCACTCGCCCACTGATTCAAGAGTTAGTCTGCGCCGATGACGGCACGCCGTTCACCATGCTTATCGAAGTGGCAGCAGCGTGGTGTGGGAGAGAAAGGTGGGAGGAGGAGGAGGAGGGGTGGAATGGAGGGCCTATCGTGGTGATCAATACCTCGCTGCAAACAGGAGCCAATTATGTCCAATCGAACCTCCATTGTAAGAGAGAGAGAAGCAGAGAAGCAGAGAAAATCCCTCCATCACAGGCTGCCAGTTAGAGGAATACTAAGAGAGTCTGAACCTGCAACCAAACATCCATCATCACCCCGTACGGTGGGTATTATAGTTCATCATATTACTGTAAAATAAGAATATTAACATACTACATCACAGCTGACAGGTTTAAAAACACACACAAAAAAACAAAAAGTTAGTTTCTCAAGAGTGCAGACGGGTGCGATTTGTTTTCCAGCTCTACTCTGTCTGGACAGTTTGAACAGGCCTCTCTGTTTGAGCATCGGAGGAATGGATTCTGGTTCTCTCATCGATGCCCGTGCATATGCATGTACCCTTTTGAAGCGAAGACAACATGAACATTTATTGATCCCCTGTGGGGGTTGTTGCCGCAGCAAAGGTAATGGGGAAGGAATAGCTTTCAATAAAACCAATAAAGACTAAAACAGGCGATCAGTAAAACAGAACATAAATTGTTGTGGGGTCGTTAAAGTTTATGCATCTGACAATCCGGCATGTTTAGTGCAATGGGCGAGCAGGAGTTATGTAGAACGAGTGTGCCAACTTAAGCACAAATATAAAGTAATTATCTGTGTTGTATCTACAGAAAGATTTATTTCAGATATTTCGAACACATTTCTCTTGTTTGTTGGAGTACACTAGTGTGTTTTAGAAATATAGAGTACATGGGTTTAAAGAACTGGATAGCTGAGACTCGTGTGGATGTAATGAGTTTCCTTGTATTCATGCGTGATGATGTTAGACCCCATGGTAGACCCCATGGTATTTCATTTTGGTGAGAGCAGTTTTGAAACTTGATGTCTATGTATAAAATGACCTGTTGTGACCTCTAGGATACAACTACAAAGACCGAGGGCATTCAGAGGATGTCTGGCTCTCCTGGGTATATTGCCAATAAGGGGGTTTCTGATTAGCTTCCAAAAGAGAAGTGCTCGCCATCCGATCGCCAAAGAAATGCAAAAATCCCAAAATATCAAACATTTTTATACCAAATCACAGCATGAATTTTTCTACGGTGTTCATCAAGGTCTTGGTGACTTAATGTAGTATTTCAGAGGGTTTTTGATATTTTCATCAATTCATGAGCAGTAAAAAAATTGTTAAATTTAGCACCAAATCTGTGTAACAAATGGTATCAACCCAAAAATTGCTGCAACAACTGATGAGATGAAATAGTTCATTGGGACGGCCTTTGTACTTCCATCATAATGTTCTAAGCCCTTTTACACTTTCACCATTTATTTTAATTGAGCTAGAACAAGTTAACGCACACGGCTGAGCTGCATCTCAACTTTATCTTCAGGTTCCCAGCTTTCACATGATGTAAAACACTTCAATGAGGCATTTATCTGTTGGCCTGCTATCGCCCCCTCAAAAAGGTCTCTGAGGGTTAACGAAGCTCTTTAAGATTGTAAGCAGTAAGAAGGATTCTCTGAATGAACACTCACATGAACACAACTTAGCTCATACCGTAGAAAGAGGTCGGGGTGGTGGATGCTTTGCTATGTAAGACTTGTATTGTGTTGTGCAACCCCGTGTTGTAGAATGACGATAAGTGAACCTTGAAGTTCAACCTTGAAAGACATCGAGTAAATGCTGTTTGTAGGGAAAGGAAGCCGAAGTCCCATTTAACAGCCTGCGTGTCCGGTCCAATTCTGTCCGAGTGAATCAGCACATCTCCCGCTGTTCCCTCTCCGTGGCTCGTTCACGATTCGTGACCACACTTCCAAATTCCTCACCTATCAAGTTTCTGAGAAATCGAGGCGGTAACTCGCCTTTTCTCACGGCTGTTATTTATTTATTTTTTTGTTCTTTGGAATTCAGGACGGCAGAGGAGCTTCAGTGAGCACGTCGACGGGATGAGTTTAGTGGGAATATCTGTTTTTCTAACTCTTAAGTGCAGGCAATTTCCAAAAGAGCAGCAACACTTGACTAAATCTGGGGAAATGCTAAATAAAGTGAAAGCGGGGTCGTGTCAGTTTGTCAGCAAGATATCTGAAAACACTTTTAAGCCGGAACTTGCTGGAGAGACACTCGTTGGTAAAAGAATCAATTAATTCAGAAAATGTGTTCTAGCGCCCACGTAATACTATTGATGTGCCATATCTGCAATGTGACAACTGCAGCAAACAAGTTGATTCGACAACAACTGACAAATGAAACTGAGGAACACGTGTCTTAATTTTTGCTTTGACCCTGGACCCTTTTTTTTATAGATTGATCCGTCAGAATGGTAATTTGTGCCATTAACTTACAAATCACAATATGTTGAACCTGTAGAATCTCACTTAGTCTGCGTCGTCTCCTCTCCGCTGTGTCATGTCTCTGCTGTTTCATGTCTTCGCTGTGTCATGTCTCCGCTGTGTCATGTCTCCGCTGTGTCATGTCTCCGCTGTTTCATGTCTCCGCTGTGTCATGTCTCCGCTGTGTCATGTCTCCGCTGTGTCATGTCTCCGCTGTGTCATGTCTCCGCTGTTTCATGTCTTCGCTGTGTCATGTCTTCGCTGTGTCATGTCTCCGCTGTGTCGTGGAAAGATCTAAAACTCTGAAGCTGTGTTGTGATGAACTGGATGATATGCACATTGTCATCACACTTCCTTTGACAAAGCAACTTGTTATCCTATAAAAATATGGTTGAAGGAACGTCAAAGTTCTCTGTCAGGAAACCGTGAACATACATCGTTCAAGACAACAAGTGCTTTTGAACAAACAGCCAATTTATCGAAAAAAGTTCCCTCTCTCAGGTATCAGTAAATACTGCATTGTAATGCGCTTTTACCAATTACTGTACAGAGTAAATGTATGTTTTCAGATACTCAAACTTCATGATTTAACTGGACATTAAGAAACATGGTTTAAAGCTTTAAAAACTAAATAGTACAAATCTTAGTTACTTACATTAATCACTACTACTACTACAGTTACTTATGTATCTTTAACAATATTCAAATCTGATATGATTAGCAAAACGTTATATTTTACATTCACAGCTATATGGAAAATGACAACACGACAAACTCTTTAATTAGCTTGATCTAAACAAAACACAACCCATAAAACCTGTAAAAAAAATGTTTTATGAAAAAACATTACAATCGTCTTCTATACTACTATAACAAAATCTGAGACACAGAAACC